CACCAGTGCGCCACGTAGGGCACCGGTGACCTACACGACAGTCAGCGCGTTAATACGGAGACTGACTTGGTCGCACAGTACCTAGTTAGCGTCCCTGGGCCGATGGTTCTAGGTTCGATTCTCTCTTCTCAAACTGAATAAATCCGTATGATAAACATATCGACGCTTGAAAGGCAAACGTGACTAAGCGACAATGCGTGAACTTTACAGTAGATTGATTTAAAGTTGAAATTAATTTAAAATATACCTGAGAAATACCTAAAAAAATATATTTTAACGAATCTAGCTGTAGTATTGAAATGATTTTAATAGACCTAGAAATATATATTTTTTTGCGCATCGAATATGGTTATTGCCTATTATTTATGTACAAAGCAGTTATTGTCGCTTAGTCACGTTTGCCTTTCAAGCGTCAATATGTATGCAGTTGGAACAGCGCCCCTAACGGCAAACGTAGACAAACTTTTCAACTCCATACAAATTTTAATTAACTTTTACGCTATCGAGAACGTTAAAAAACTCGCACTAAGCACACTGCTCTTTGTTTGAATGTTTAATTTAATATTATGTAATTTAATATTATGTATTTATTTTTATTGCCACAAGGCTGTCCGCTATCTGCTTCCAACGTATTCTCGCGTACTTCGGCCACATCGCTTGTAGAGGCCCCGATAACTTGGAGAAGCTGATGGTAGTTGGTCAGGTTGACGGCAGAAGATCACGCGGACGCTCACCTACCCGCTGGTCTGATCTGGTTAAGACGCTCACCGACCTGGAAATAACCGAGGCTATAAAGACCGCCGAGGACAGGGAGACGTGGGGAAACATTGTGCATCGAGTGGTCCACATTTTAGATTAGACACGACCTTCAGTAATGAAGAGACCGACTCAGAAGAAGATTTACTAGCAGATGCGGCCACACGTTGCTGTGGCTAAGGTTTCTGTTTCTAATAACACGTGGCCGGCTATGCTAATATCAAAAATTAACAAATTAAAAACAATTGGTTTTCACTGTATTGCGTTTACTGCGAAATTTCACATAAACTTTAGCCTCAGCAACCCGTGGTGGTTATGACACTAAATTGTAGCTTATGTGAAACGTTGGTATTTTTAACACAGCGCCATCTATGAGATATTAATGTCAGACAGTGTTACAGATTGTCTGTAGAAACTGATTTAAGGTGCCATCTGTTTTGGACTTATGAAACTTACAATTAATAACAATAATCAACATAAGAAATCATTTTATTGTTAATTAATAAATATTGCCACCATTAATCGAAATAAAAACCATCCTATGGCCTAAGCTAGAACAAAACACATATTTTAAAAAAATAAGATAAAATCGGATCAGTAGTTTAGGTCTCAATCGCGGAAAACAACGTGACACGTAATATATATATATATACTAGCAGACCCTGTGATACCGATGTGACGCCATGTGGCACGATTATTTATAGCAGGTGATGGTTAATAATTGGCTTGATATTTGTACAGTGTCCATATTAACGATTAGATATGCTTTCACGACAAAAATTCCAACTAACCAATGAGCGTCTAATTTTTTTTTGTTTTTGTAACATATTACGTAATTAATAACAAGCATTCTTGCTAAATGGACAACGAGATCATCAATAACCAAGTCAGTTACAATGTCTAGGAAAAATAATTTCGATTCAAATAATAAATTAGTTGAGCTTAATAAACGCAAAACAGTTTATTACACTCGATGTTGTATAATGAATTAATTTACCTAGATTCGTGCTACTGTATTTGATAAAAACCTGTCTGTTGCACACTTGATACTTGTTGAACGACTCGTTTGATTTAGTAATCATATTATTATGTTTCATTCAATCGTTTTATTAGGACATCAATCAAACTTTGAGGCGCCGCCGCGCCGCCTCTAGTCGCTTTATAACATCGCGTTATGAATCTGACAAATTATAATGGGCTTCTCATAAATTTAATAAAAATGTATATTTCTTTTATGAAGACTTAGTCGCTGAAAATGCTGTAATGTATTTGATGTTCGCAAGTATCTGATTAAACACATGATGTTCACGGAACGATTGGAGCCTCTGGGTCTACATGCGTGAGCTTTGCTTACCTTTGTGTAACGCATGTTTTCGCTCAGGGGAGTTGATTGATTCCTGTGTACCGTCTCTCTGCATGATACACTGTCATGCTTGACATTGGGACGAGACTACTAGATTGATCTCCCATAAATCCCGCGCAGGGATCTCGTGAGGATATTCGGACCCCGGCCCAAAAATTAAAGCCATGCCCACTACGTGAGACGACTGCGTTCATCTCTAGGGCTTTAAAAGAGATAATTTTGCCATTACCTGTCTGTAAGGAGTCGCTGTATTCTAAGTGCTATTTTAACTTCTCTCCAACTATCTTCCGCACGATCTTTGAACAGAGCAATATTATTAGAAACAAGTAGCGGCTTGGTTGTGCCCGATTATTTATATTCACCAGCTACAACGAACACTAAGATCAATTTAAATACCATTACAAAGATCGATTAGATAGATAGCAGTACATTTTTTACTTATTTCCTTTGAGTTCGATACCTGCAATTATTCCTTTGCTGGTAGCCCGGATTTCTTTACAATTTTACTAGGACGGGAGGCTGAAGGTATGTACATAATTGTACAAAAATAGATTAGTGTCATAATATGTGAATGTGTTTAATTTTTATCCTGATTACTTGATGGAACTGGTTGATGATACCAGCGCCATCTGTTACGTACTGTCTGTACTACGTAGTGTAAAAAACTTATTTAAACAAACAGCGACAAGATTTACATAATTTCGGATCATCCAGATCAACTATCGGAGGTACCTCAAGCACCGGCCACCGTTCTCGTCGAATTCGTCGCTTGCTACGAAGGGTTCGGCGAGGATTAACCGTCAGACACAGCCAGCTGAGTTTTTTTTGCGGATTTTCTCAGTGGGTCGCGCTTCCGATCCGGTAGTAAATTCGTTCCGGCGGTGGTAGATTTTTTTAATTTTTTTATTGCCCGTGTAGGCAGACGGCTCACCTGATGGTGAATGGTTGCCGTCGCCCATGGACTTCAGCAATGCCAGGGGTAGAACCAAGCCGCTGCCTACCAAGCGATCCGGTGAAGCACTTGATCTTGCTACGGCTAATGTTAGCAAATTCTCCTAGGCAAACAATATAGCAATTCTTCTAGGTCGAGCCCGTGAGCTCACCTACCTGTCCGGTTAAGCTGGCATAACCCTTCGAAACTACCAGCATAGGTAATAAATAAAAATAAAAAAACGATTTTATTGATAACAGTAATTTAATTACTCATGTACCACTTATCGTACTGTCTGCAATATTCATGATCTTTGTTATTTGCGTTTTAGTACATCTATACTAATATTATACTAATATTATAAAGAGGAAAGATTTGTTTGTTTGTTTGTTTCGAATAGGCTCCGAAACTACTGGACCGATTTGAAAAATTCTTTTTCCATTAGAAGCCGACATTGTCCCTGATGAACATAGGCTACTTTTTTTAATTTTTTTTTATTTTATTTTTTTGGTTTCATGTGTGTTTTAATGTTTCCGAAGCGAAGCGAGGNATATTATAAAGAGGAAAGATTTGTTTGTTTGTTTGTTTCGAATAGGCTCCGAAACTACTGGACCGATTTGAAAAATTCTTTTTCCATTAGAAGCCGACATTGTCCCTGATGAACATAGGCTACTTTTTTTAATTTTTTTTTATTTTATTTTTTTGGTTTCATGTGTGTTTTAATGTTTCCGAAGCGAAGCGAGGGCGGGTCGCTAGTCTTAAATATTTTTGTGATAGCGATTACCTAGTGATAAAAGAGAACAGTCATCAAGGGCTCGTAAATGAAAAAAGGGTGCTTGCTAGTTTTGTGGACTAATTTTAGTCACATGTCTTTTTTAATTTAAAAGTTTTTACAAGTGTAAAAGTGCCTAAATTGTTTATGCCGTGCGTGTCACGTATGCTTAAGGAATATAACATATGGGAGATTATCGCTTTACCTAATATAAAAAAATACACAACACAAATAAAAAAAACTGCTTAAATTAATTTGAAAGTCATCTAATAACTGATTTAATTTTAAAACGTTCATCCGATATCAGAATTAATTTAAGACAGAGCCATCTATTGTCAGACTTGGAAATGATTATTGTAATGTCAAACTTTAAACAGAAATAGAGTTTTATTTAGTCATGAGATGGCGCTAGTATGTCGTACGTGCTACTCAAAGATAGATGGCAATATAAAATTGATAAAAGTTACATAAGCTAGGTAGGCGAAAGGCTTGTATACTTTTATTTTCTAGACTTTTTATTAGCATTTTAGTACAAACTCATGCTATATGGAGATAAAAAAATACAATGATGTTTGTAACTATATGTACAAAGATAATGAGAGTTGGATAATTTTTTAATTGACATAGACGTAGGAAACAGACCTCATGATCCATCTGATGTTAAGCATTTACCCCATAGATATCGTAAAATGACGTCGCCTGAAATAGGACATGTGAGTCGTCTATTATCAAAGGTGGCAATCTGTGCATTTGGACAAAAAAATGTTATTGATATGTCAATACAGATTGATATGAATATAATCGTCTCCTTCAAAGAATACGGTTCAAAACCTGCATTAAATAAAGGTTAATACTGAACCTGTTATTTATCTAAGATGTCGTTCAGAAGAGTTTTGTGACTGCCAATGGAATACAAAGTCAATAATTCGTTTTTCTGATTTACCAATAATTGTCCAAAAGTCACATTGCCGGCTTTGATAATAGTCGACTCATGTCTTCGTCTTATATTGCTATAAAAGAACTGAAATTTTCTCAACCTACTCTTTGTCTGCCAGAAGGCATAATTGCATGAAGCCAAATTAAAAAAAGAAAAAAGTAGGAATCTACTCGTTCACTTTTTGAACTCATTTCACAAACTTCAGATATTAATGCGTCAATCAAACAGCAAGAAATTTATTCCTTATTTAATTAATTAAAGACTTTGATACATTATTACAATAAAAAATTTAAGGATACTTCTAAACTTTTACATTATTTACAAAGTGACTAATAATTACAGAAATTAAATAACTAACATGTAATTACACTTATGAGTATTTTGAATTTTCTTAGTCTTTAACACTTAGCACTGTCATAATACAAGCCAATCCTCCTTGATCATGTCCGATGCTTTCTCAGCTATCATGATGACAGGAGCGTTGGGGTTGCCACTTATAATGGTCGGCATGACACTCGCGTCCACGACCCGCAGGTTGGCAACACCGTGCACTCGCAGCCTTGGGTCCACAACGGCTTCTTGATCATGTTTCGGTCCCATCTTGCAGGTGCCGGTAGGGTGGTAAATCGTAAAAGTGAAATGCTTCAAACTGCACTCCCAGTATTCGTCACTAAAGAGCACGTGGTGTTGGCAACCGGGCAGGGGAATGTTGTGGGGCCTTGATCCGTATCTTTGGAAAGAAGTGGTATTCGAAATCGCCATAGCGATCTTTATGCCTTCCGTCAGTACTTTGATATCCTCCTTGTACGCGAAATAGTTAGGCTCAATCGAGGGGGGCTGGAAAGGGTTGCGACTCCTCAATTTAACCCAGCCAGAGCTTTTCGGGCGCAGAAGTAACGGAAGAATGGTCCAGGTTTCGGTATTTTCAATGGGCTTGTACACGGTATTATAAACTCGATCTCGCAAATTCAAGATTTTTCGGATCTGTTCTCCGCCATCAGAGTTTACTGAACTAGGAGCGAAATGGAACTGAATATCGGGCCAAGCCCCTGATGGCGGAGCGTATTTTGTATTGACGAAAGCCAATCCTTCAACGCCTTGGGTCGTCATTGGTCCCTTTTCAGATAGAATGTAGTTCATGGCCACAGCAAATGTCTGGAATCGGTCCTTCTTGAACGTGACGGGCTTGTTGACTACGAAGGTCAATCCACCCAAACCGACATGGTCTTGTAAGTTGTGGCCGACTTTCAAATTCGCTATCAAAGGAATGCCGTGTTCCCTGAGGTGTTCCGCTGGTCCAACCCCGCTAAGCATCATTAGGTGAGGTGTTGCCAATGCTCCGGCCGACATTATCACCTCTCTTTTGATCCTGACTTTCTGTTTGACGCCGTTGCGAATGAACTCCACCCCATATGCTTGTTTTTTGACTGGATTAATAAGTATTCTGGTGACTTGTGCTCCGAGCGCAACGTGAAGGTTGTCCCTGTGTCGCACGGGTCTTAGAAACGCTTTGGCTGTGCTGCATCGACTCCCGCGCCTCATAGTCGCCTGCGTCAACATGAACCCAGTCTGTTTCGCTCCATTTATGTCTCGGTTCTCGTAACCCAGTTCCATGCCGGCTTTTAAGAACGCAACTGATAATGGAGTTCGCCATGGTGCTTCTTGAACGGTCAGGTATCCACCGGCCGCGTGATACGGCGTGTTCACTAAGTAGGGGTTCCGATTGTCTTCTGATTTTAGGAAATAAGGCAGAACGGAATCGTACGACCATCCAGGATTACCGAGTGCCTCCCACAAGTCGTAATCGTTACGGTTTCCTCTAACGTATACCATGGCGTTGAGTACGCTGCTGCCACCCAGAACTTTACCTCTCGGCCAATTACATCTATCACCGTTCATGGCTAAACAATACGAACGATTGTTCGAAGGTGTCGTTTGGAACTTCCAGTCCATTTCGGAGAGTTGCGTGTAGCCCGCCAGTGCGGGGATGTCGGAGATCTCGTTCTCGTCNTAATCGTTACGGTTTCCTCTAACGTATACCATGGCGTTGAGTACGCTGCTGCCACCCAGAACTTTACCTCTCGGCCAATTACATCTATCACCGTTCATGGCTAAACAATACGAACGATTGTTCGAAGGTGTCGTTTGGAACTTCCAGTCCATTTCGGAGAGTTGCGTGTAGCCCGCCAGTGCGGGGATGTCGGAGATCTCGTTCTCGTCGTATCCCGCCTCGAGGAGGAGGACGGTCCAGTTGCCGATCTCGGAAAGGCGCGACGCAACCACAGCACCGGCCGAACCTCCCCCCACTACCACGAAGTCATAAATCGGCATCACCTGGAAAATGACAAAATCGGACTTATTCAAACTTATTCAACTACATTGTAATCTTAATGATACATACAGACATAAATATTTCATTAATTCAAGTATTATGTAGTTATTTATACTCTGGGAGTGGCGAATCAATTTTTTTCTTAAATTTTATTTAGAAAGATATAGAGGGTAAATTATATAAGTCTTACATAAAAAAATTACAATTTTATTTTTCAAAAATGTAATTTATGTCTGTTATTGTGTGGCAAGTAGAATATTTTTCAATAGAAATATAATAATATCAGTTCGCAGATTATACAGTTCAGTGTGAAATGAACCGATGTTAGTTTCTCGGAATTACGCGTGTTTTCACATTTACTAGAGGTCCCGCAGTAGTCGAAATTCGACTATAATTAATTGGAATTGTAAATTTGTACACTATTATGATTGAATTTTATACTCCTATAATCACAAATTTCGCCAAGACTACACTATAAAAAATATTAAACAAAGGCAAACAGTATTTAATTTATTCTCAATTTGACAACAGACGCCAAGAACAAAAGTTTGACAATAAATAGTATGCATGCGTGTGTGCGTCAAAGACATGGTATGTAGTGTGTGTAATGTTTTCTTTATTGATCTAATGTATCTTTTATGCATTATTTAAAAAAAATATTAGCATTGTGCACTTCTTCTCTATATTCTCTATAAGTGTGGAAAATTTCATACTCCTCAGTCCGCGCAATTTTCGTAAACAGGGATACAAAGTTTTTGCTTCACGTATTAATATTCATATATTTATAACATTATTTTAAATATCAATGAAAATAATTTTTCTTTTTATTATTTGTTCTCACAAAAGTTTTTTCTTATATTTTCGCTTAAACAAGGGTGATAACCAGGAACTAAAATCATTGAAGATTTGCTTGTATGTATGTACGTATGTAATACTTGAACATTCTAATAATAGTGGAGTCACATTAATTTGTCGCTTAATTTACACAATTAACTCGAGGAATTTATAAAAAAAGCAATGTGAAAAATGCAAATTATAATTAAAATGCTTACGATTGTGTAAATTATGAAAATCTTTATGTTTCGTTAAATCGAGTCCTAGAATAAATTACTGTAACATTAACCTTAGCGCATTTTAATGTTGAATGTTGTAAATCTTTAATCATATTCACAATCTAATGTGAAGCAAACGATGTTAATCAAATTAATAACAAACGAGAGATACACTTACAGCATTGATGTCCGTAACGTAGGATTCCGGGTCGTATTGTTGGTATCTGAAGTACGTGATCCCTAATGCCAGGAGTGGTATCAGACCCAACACGGTAATCGGCGACGGTGCCAAGCTCGCCAAAGCTCCTGCCGCCTCCATATCTACCACTATACATCTACTACTAAGCTACTATATACAACTACGAACTATCTACTCTAACTCCAATCCAATTTGCCCTTTTGTTCCTCTTCCGAGAGTATCTTTGGAGTATAATTCCTTATGCCGGACTTTTTCGATGACCCAGTTTTAAACTGTCCTTTATCGCTTTCGTCCAGATAACTCATTAGTCGGGCGCTTTTCAATTCGTCCTTCTGCAGTTGGATAAGTTGATTCCTGTAGCGTTTCTCTTTTGGTAGCTTCACCGGTTTGTAAATGTCTTTGTTCGCGTCTTTGTAGTGATCGTTTTTGTACAGAGACGTGCCGTAGTATCCGCTTTTCGATGAGACTTCGGATCGGCACTCGCAGGCGCTGGATCCGCTCCGGTATCCACTGCTCTCGGTGGAGTGGTCGCTCTTGAAACTGTCGGCGCTCCGTCTCGCTTTCTGTCGTATGTATTCGTATTCCTTGCTCTCGTATTCGCTTTTCCTGCAGTCGATAGAGTTCCTGTATTGCACAGGATCTTCGTATTTGTTCTTGTAACGTCTCACTGGACCGTTGGCGTGTACGTAAGATTGCTCTTGTCCCATTTTGCGACGTGCGATCGCGCTCTCGGCTTTTGGTTCCTGGAACGAGAAATTTACGTGTTTATTTGAAACTTGTGTGAATTAATATAAAGTTACTTTATATATAGTATGAAGAACGTTGTTTCTACAATTATTATCTAGATCAGCTGTACCCAAACTTATTTTGCCTACTGCCTACTTTGAGAATAAATTATTTTTTAGCGCCCCTATTTTTTCTACCTACTTAAAAACCACTATAGCGAGAGCTCGGTCGGTGTCTAAGAGTCCTCCTAGATGAAATTACAAATCGCCTCCCAAGCCAACCCAACGCCCCCTTTTTTTCTGGGTCTATCACCGCCCACTATTAAGCCTGCAACGCCCACATGGAGGAGTTATCGCCCACTTTGGGAAAAGCTGATCTAGATTAAGACTCGTATTTTCTTCAGTTTTCGCGTGTTATTAACATAAAATAAAACTACTTTTAAGGTTTAATCGCGCATCTATTATTTCCGATGTTTCAAATACTGCACAGTTTTCTTGGACGGTTTTCGCGGACGACTGTAGTCCGTAAACATATGAAATGCGAGATTAAATGATAACAGTTGGTTTTGATTTCATTAAGACCACTCGGATATAAAGTAAATTAAAAGTAAAGTTACATGTTAATTGGTAGATTAAATTTTTCGGTTGTGTAGTGTAACTTTAAATAGCACTACTTTATCTCTTCCCGTGTGTGACATAAAAAAGGACTAAGGCACAGGACAATTGTCAATTGACAATATCCAATTGACAATTGGATTTAACACACTGGTTGATCTGTGCCCAATTCCCTACTATGCCTTCCAGTTTGAAGGATAATTGTAAAACACGAATAAATCTTCTTTATGCTGTATTTAACGCAGAGACATGCAAAAGAACAATTGCAAATACCGTCACGTGAGCAATATTAATTTTCCATGCATAAATTATTCTTATTTTTTTAATTTCAGGTATGACACCGCGTCACCCTACACAAGTATGTGCAAGATTACTCAAGAAGAAAATAATCGAATTTATTAAAGTAAACTCCAAATTTTTGGATTGCCGTTATTTTCGATAACTTTAAATGCTCCCTCCTCTAACGTAAATTCTTCCTCCTCCTCCTTCTCCAAAATTATGTTTTAACAGTATATAACACTAAATAAAAATGATCTATATAAAATCATTCGTCTTTGACATCTGCCTATTCAATTATTTTGCTTCATAATTTGGATTGTCAAACGAAAGGTTTTTTTTGTTCCTTAGCCGCAGTAACCGGAGCGAAATGCTTAAATATAGAAAAAATACAAGGCAATTATATTAATTGCATTACATTAAAATTATATTTGTTTTTAACGGGTGGTTGAAACCTCAACGGTAGATACGACGATCAGCCTGGCTATTCTTACCGCGAAGCAATCACTCGTTATGGTTCGCAGTTTTTTTTATGATTGAAAGATAACTGGTGGCCCAGAGGCCTTTCCAGTTTCACCAGGACAGGTGGGTGGGAATACCCATTCTACAATCCACTAATTGAGACTTAAATCGGACATTCCAAGGTGGTAACATTTTCTTTAGCGGTGGCGATTCTGAACCGCTTACAAACACAGTTTTCTGTTCCGTGGCGATGGAACCGTTTGACGTCCCGGATCAAAACAGTATTCGTTGCACAAACCGGTCATCGAACTGCGTGATGCAATTTCTTACATTAATGATTAAATCGAACCTGATGCAGCCGAGAATACAATGACACACACAAATACAATTCGTCGCGTGGTCGTTTGTTCACTAAACAATTATCAATAATTAAAAATTAACCATAAAAAGCAACTTTTTGGCATTAATGTCTCTTCATAACAATGTTAACGATATCCACTTTCGCCACCTTTCGTGGTGTCGTCTATCAAAACTCCGACGATGACCCCCAGTCAGCCCCACCAACCGTATAGCGTATAATGAAAGTTAATTTAAAATTGGCCAAAACAGCGTCAGATATTCGCCTAGCAAATCTGCGATAGTTGATAAGCTAGGGAGCGGATTTTAATCAACAAGAATCATATCCGATCTCATCATTCGCTGTTCAGTCGAGTCAGTTAAGACCCTTCTGATGGCAAACGTTATTCGGCTCGAGAGTGTTGAAGTACTATTTGTGGAAACATCTTCATAGCCAGTTTTAAAACAGGGCAGCGACATCTATTGACGACAAACGTAAACTTTATTCAATGACCGTGACAACGTAACGTGGCCTTGAATTACATTTACAAAACACAGCGCACAGCTGCTGTACTTAAATCAATATTTCGTTTCGTATTTACCAATTAGATTACCGTTAAATGCACCTTCAATTTTTTAAGAACTGTGTCGCTATTATAGACCGAGCTAAAAAAAAATATTACATGAATCATCGGGTTATCTCCAAGAAAAGAATAAGTCTGTTAATACAATGATGTTTATGCAATTTTAAAATAATTTCATTCTAAAGATATTGTAATATTGGATTATATAGTAAAGCTATTTATGTAGTCTGTATAATATATAGCTTTGTTCATTTGCGTCTATTAACTATATCTATTGTAGGGAATTTCGCTATGGAAGGTTTATGGTCAATATATTTAAAAAAACCTTCTAAGCGTAAACTATCTACCTTAATTTATTAGTACGTAGTGTAATTAATGTCTAAACTGCCGGGTCAGAAACATTTTTTTCCTACCTATGCTGATAGCCTGTGTGACTATTTCAGCTTCTCCTTGACGTGTAGGTGGCCTCACGGGGCTCAAAGCGGGAGTGTTGCTAACACTGGCTCTAGCAAGAGCAGTGCTTCGCAGAATCTACCACCGGATCGGAAACGCGACTCACTGAGAAGGTCCGGCGAGAAACTCATGGGCTGTGTCTATGGGTTAATTCACTCGTCGAGCCCTTCGTCGTAAGCGACGGGTTCGGCGAGGACGGTGACCGGTGCTTGTGGTACCTAAAAGCACCGTTAATAGATCGGGAGGATCCGTAATGACGTGTTTAGGGCGACGTCGACTGTTTACCATTCGGTCTACAGGATCGGGTATCTGTGGACCGCGTAATTCACTCTTTAATATTAATAAAGTAAAATGAACTTCCTCATTTTGTGACATTTCTTGTAAAGATAGGTTTTATCAAATTCTCAACGAAACAGAGATACTGCGGTTTTGTTTTGAATCGTTAGCATTCATTGACTTTCACTTGCAATTTCAAAACCGCTCATTTTAAAATATCCACTGTTATAATATTCGCCTGTCTTAATTCATTTTTGTTTGATGGTTTATAAGAATATAATTTTACTTGTAAATCTTATGCGTACCAGATTGGAAGGTGGAATAGCTTTTATACGATTACACATTCAATTGAGATTTCGACCTTATATCCAGAGGTGGCTGGGGGCATTTATGTAACTGGAATCTAAGGATTCCGATAACCGCTATGCACCATGAGACAGGCCGTGAGATCGTTAAATCGACTACGCAAAAAAAGTAATTCCAATGTAAAGCTGTAAAGAGCCGCAGTTTATTTTAGCAGAAGAAAGCTTATGTATTTGGCTGTTAATTTTAAAGTGCAGACGGGTATGAAAGCTTTAATCTCTGTGACTACTTCCATAAGTTCTTAATTCGAATTATCGAAATCTTTTTAGTTGTTTATTGGACTTATACAAGTTAATTTTCTGTCGCGAAGAAATCACGGGTGTTCCGGTTTTTAGACTAGAAAAGCTAGGGAGACATCTAAATTGTATTTTAACGTGGTGAGTATCTATAGGTAATTACGCGTACACGATAATAATAATGCTTGAAAAAACAAACAATCTTATTACATATGTAATTTACGAAAGAAAACTAGATTTAATACGTCTTAATAGTCAAATTAACAGTCCATTTGGAGTATTTTTAACATTCAATGTTATGTCTATTATCTATAACATCTGTGACAGAAGGCTTCTCTATGACTTCCAAACATCCAACTAATAACGATACCTGGTTTCGTATTGATACCACGCAGCGAGAACTCGTTTCTGATTTGTCATATTAACATAATCCCATTCATGCCGTCAACGTGGCTAATTCGACAGAAACATTACGAGTCTATTGAATAAAACAATTGCTTATCGATGCAAAATAACGTTGTTTACGATTTATTAGCGTAGATGAGCAAAGGAAACTCACGGGCCGTGAGATTTTAGAGCGCTTGTTTTCTGCCATCTGGATATCAAAACCTTAAGGTCATCACTTTGAAACGCTAATGCGAAACCTATTTCATTGATAGAAATTGTAACTATACTGAGACCTTAGAACTGATGTCTCAAGGTGGGTGGCGCATTTACGTTGTAGATGTCTATGGGCTCCAGTAACCACTTAACACCAGGTGGGCTGTGAGCTCGTCCACACATATAAGAAACAAAAAAAAAAAAAAGTTGGAATTAAGGTATTGTCTGAAGACTTGGCAGCCATGATCGGTTCCCAACAGGTGTATCACGGAGCGTCTATTAATTATTGGGATGATATCAAATCTGTATATCCAATTTAGTTTGGTAAGCATATTTAGCATAGTATTATAGTATTTACAGGGTGTCCGGAAACAGATCTCAAAACCAATTGATTCTAAACTAGTGAAAATCCCCCCAAATTGCATCAATTAACCAAAAAAAAATCTTTAGAAACAGTTGTGTTTTTAGTAAGCACACATTTTGTGGACTTGCTAAGTACTTATAGGGTGAGGAATCATAGAAGTTTTTTTATTTTTATTGCTTAGTTGGGTGGACGAGCCCTCACAGCCCACCTGGTGTTAAGTGGTTACTGGAGCCCATAAACATCTACAACGTAAATGCGCCACCCACCTTGAGGTATAACTTCTAAGGTCTCAGTATAGTTACAACGGCTGCCCCACCCTTGAAACCGAAACGCATTACTGCTTCACGGCAGAAATAGGCAGGACGGTGTTACCTACCCGCGCGGACTCACAAGAGGTCCTACCACCAGTCAAATTCTTCGATGAAACTTTATTGTCTGACGTGTCAATCACCA